ACAAATAATTCCAAAGACTTAGAAAAATTGTCCAAAAATTAAACCAAAAACCTAGAAAAATAAAGGGGGGTTCGGCCACACCTTGTTCTTGAAGTTTGGGGCCTTAGGAGCAAGGGGTTGGCGCTTCTGAGTCAAATTTCCTCCCTTGGGTGGGCCTTTGCTCTGTTAACCTTGGGCCCGTGGCATGGCTTGCCGCCCATTTCCACTGCCACGACGGGGTTTCCGTTGGTTATAGCTGCTAGAATTTGTCGCATGCGCTTAAGGCGGAGCGTTCGAGCCAGTAGGTCGAGCTTGATGATTCTTCATCAAAAGCTGGTTCTCCTTTTCAGCGAGAAGTAAAACAGAGATCAAATCTGAAAATTTGGTGAACTTATGTGCCCTATATTGTTGCTGCAGAACAATATTGGTGGCATTGAAGTTCGAATAGGTCTTCTCCAAGAACTTAAGCAGTGTTCGGATTCTACAAACTTCAAAGTTGTATTCATTCACAAACTTAAAGTCTTGGAAGTGTAAATGCTGCTAGTTGTGTTTTGTTTCAGGCAAGTAATGTTTTTCTGGTGATCGAAGCGATTGGCCAGAGCAACCCAAAGTGTGCGTGGGTCTTCCTCAACGAGGTACTCTATCTGCAATGCATCATGGATGTGTCTTCAGATGAAGATCATAATAGTAGCTTTCTGAACTTCGTCGACGGATTCATCGGTAGGTTCCTTGATGGTGGCTCGAAGACTCTTTGCAGTAGGACGGAGTTTCACGTCTTGAACCCACTTTAGATAGTTTCTTCCAGATACTTCCAAAGCGGTGAAATCGAACTTGCTCAAGTTCAACATGTCCCTGAAACAGAGGTTACAACAAAAACGTGGTTAGTCATATGGAAAACCATAGACATACATTATAGAACATTCGGGTTCTATAGACATGTATTGGTTTAATTTAAGTATGAAAGCTACGGGTTTCATGTGGTAAGTTTTGAATGAAAACTTTGGGTTTCAAAGGCGTTAAATTCGAAACTATAGGTTCGATTTAGTTATGAACATCTAGTTCATATATAGGGGTACCTGCAAAAAAACATAATACAATATACAACTACGTGTAGTGAATTTGTGGATTGCTTCAGGAACCCAAGTGTGAGTGCGTCGAGATTATGAAAGATAGTCAACGGTTTAAAGAAAAGAAATAATTTATTGAATTGTTAATTGCCAAAAAGTGAGCTTCAGGCCAATAATTTTGGATTAATTGACAGATTAAGGGATTGCGGGTCACTTTAATTAATTCAATAGATCGTAACCATCCAGGTTTGATCGTAACAGCAAAATAATAACATTCGGGGTTAATATTAGCAGGAACGCTTAAAAAAATAGTATTGGATTCGAAAAATCATAGCCCAATCTCGGTGGGCTAGTCACCGTGTATGGGACAATACCCTAAAGGAAACGGGATCTGTAAAATTGCTTCCCTTCCGCATATTTTGGTGAATGCTATTAATATTTTACCTTTCACGTTTCAATTTTGTTGTTTTTCCTTGGTCTCCATGTGGTTCTTGCTTGGACGATGCAAGTAATTGATATGAGAATTTCATAATGCCTTTCAACGTTGAGTAATTGTTTATGACAATTGTTATTGGCACTCCAAAATTCTCATTCTACACCCCAAACTTTCTATATTTAGCAAAAAAGAAAAAAAAAAAAAACATTTGTGAGGAGTGTAGAATGAGATTTTTGGAGTGCCAATAACACTTCCCTTGTTTATTAAATATTTTGCATGATTTTTGTGAATGTTACAGAGTTTTGCATCATTTGATTTTGTCATATATTTAAGCAGCTGCAATTTGGATATCTTGAGACTGATAGCTGCAATTTGATATGCAAGTTTGAAGTACCGTAATCTTGTAACAAAATTGTGATTTCAGCAAGGGAAGCTTTTGTCCTTTAGGTCTCCATTAATTCCGACTTTTCAGTCTATTCGTTTCGACTCATATATGTGTTCTCTTGTAGTCCATTTATTTGATCATATCTCAATGCTGTCCTCTCTAATTACTTTAATAGTTGAACTTGCGTTGAACATATCTCAATGCTGTCCTTACTCTGCAGGATTTTCGTCTTGTTAGAGACAAATATATTCATGTCTCAAGGGGATTTGCGTTTGTACATTTCCATTCGGTGTGTCCTTTCTGTCTTAGGTGATTAAGTTGGTTCATTATTGTAATTTGATTGTCCTCCATTCATCTGGTATCTATGCAACAATCATGGCTTTAATGTTATGGTACTAGAATTCAAAGACGATATGGGGATGGAGAAACGATGCCAGCAATTAAAAGAACAGAACTTATAAATATAACAAAAAAGGCTAAACTTATATTTACAGAACTTGTACAAAATTTACTTTCCAAATGTACATGTTCAGAACTTATGAATTTAATTCTTCAGAACTTTTATATAGTCAGTATATGCGTTGTAGGCTCATTGTATTGCCACTAGTAACTAAGCTACTACTAGATCTGATCTGGGCTTTTTGCCCTATTAATCATATTCTTCCAAAAACTAGTATATAAGTTCCTTAATATGATGTTTTATTATACATGGATATTAGCATAGTTCTAGTCAAAATTATTTTGGTTTAAACTACAACCTTTGATTTTCAGGTAGGAGATGCTACAAAATCTCTTGAAGCAACAAAAGGAACTCCTCAACCTATGTAGAGCACACACGCGAATTCATGAAGACTTGAAAGCTGCATTCAAACTCCTCAACGTTTGTTTGGAAGTGGAAATGGACAACTATAGTGTTATTGGGCATATTTTAGGATTGTAATCAGTATTTTAATTTCATTAGGTTGGTTTTTTTTTTTTACTTCTATGGTAACTTGTATATTATTTCATTAATATAAAATATTTCGTTCAGTACAAATTGACCATTGAAAGTAATTTTCTTTTACAATATATTTGTATCTTTTTATGGTTTTTGGTTCTCAGTAATGACTACTGGACATGATTAAAAATAAATATTTATGACAAGCTAGGTCGTCAAAAATACATAAATCATTGTTGAAAATAAAATTTCTTACATGAGTTTTTGTTGAAAATATGTCATCACAAAAATAGATGTCGTATGGAAAGTATTTTTGACAGCCATTTAAATATTTGTGACCATATTAACATGTCGGAAATTAAACAAGTTTGTCGTTTTCAAATATTTATTCCAACGAAAGACTAACTACTAACGACAAGTCTTGTGATTCGATGATAAAGTATTTTTCGACGGTTGGTCAAAAAAAAAAACAAAAAAAAAGCATTTCTAATGGCACCAATTTTGACGACCAACGAGGCCTTTTTCCGTTGGTATTGACCCTTCCCAATGACAATTCGTTTTGTAGTGAAAACCAGATGAGTCATCAGGAGGGACACATGTCAACACTTGGCAAAAATGTATTATTTGATTTTAGTTTGAAATAAAATAATTAATTAATATAAATTTAAATAAAATGAAATGCCAAATTGGGAACATTGATTTATTTGGTTTGTATTTGGTTAAATCAAATATTAATTGATGGAGTCATATCATGAACCAAGACACAAATCAAGTCTTGGTTCTTTCATAGGCAAAACTTGGAGAATCTATAAATACGAGGCTCCAAGATAAAGAAAGGGGTTAGAAAATTATTCTCACACCCAGACGCTGAAGCTTTCAAGCACCGAACTCCTAAATTCTCAAACACAGAATATCCAAAAAGCGCTTTGCATTCTTCTTCATTCTTGTGAAGAACCACCAAGCACTCCTATACATGCCGGTGCTTCCTTCCCCACAAGCCAAAACCTTGAGGTATTCATTCATTCAAGGTCAAGTCATTATGACTCCTAGATCAACAACACACACATTTTTCACCCTGGAGATCAAATCAGAGGATTCAAGTTTGTAAAAAAAATTGTAACCCTACATTTACATTAATACAAAACATTTATTTTGTACACATGTTCCTGTTTAATTTGTCATTGGAAACTTCCTGTTTATAAATTTGCCACGCCCATTGGGACAATCTCTACCTTTCATCTCTTTCTCCATTCAAAATCCAAAATATATCGTCGAAATCAATGGCTTCGAAGATGGGGTCAAGCTATTCTTGCCACCAAGTCAAAAAGTGTGAGCGCTTCGGCTGTAAGCGGAGACTCTGTTAGCGCCACAACTCGAAACAAGGCAAAGACCATGACCACACTTCAACGCGCACCTTCCAAGCTGATGTCATTGAGGGAGCAAGGAGAGTGTCGGAGGCGCGAGCGTGTCATCAGCTTGGCCTTGCTAGGAGCAATGAAGAACGATTATGCAACACGCGAAAGGACTTCCCAAAACAATGAGCAGGATTCTTCGGTGTCAAAGAAGGCTCAAGTTGCACCCGTGCACGCAGATAAAAAACATGACGGCTTTCACCAGAAGGTGCAACTTGGCTGGCATCGTCTCCCAAGGCAAGATGAAGGGCATGCCTCTCAACCCAACACACTACTTTGGCAACATTTATCTTTTACGTCATATGGTTTCAGATTTGAGTAATTTTTGGTAGACATGATTTTTGAAGAAAGATCTAAAAGATAGACGTTTCGGATCATTGAAATGTATTACGAAGTGGACCTCACAAAAATATGTGTTAAAAGTATTGTTAAAAAAACGGTGCCACGAGTCTATGCCCTATCCTAACTTTTATATCTTCCAAGGTAAGGCTATCTCCAATCCTATCAAAAGGAAACTTTTGGAAACTACGCTAAAAGCTAAATTATGTATCTTTGAAAGGTGTTTGTACTTTGCATCCAGATATTGTCAAAAGAATTGCAACACGTGCCTCTACTTCAAAATTTTAGAATGCGCCATACAGTAACATGCAGCTGTGAATTTCATTAGATGAGGTTGCACATTTCAGTCACGACCTTGTAGTTATTTGTTTTCATTGACTGATGCTCCGGAGTAAATTTTGCTTCAAGCATCCATCAATTACGACAACAACACTGCAAATGCATGTCATGTGTTCTAACGAAACTTGCACCCGTATAGGTTTATATATACAGAACATATGTAAACAACCTATATTATTACATATTTGCTACTGCAGCCAAACCACTACTCAAATTACTCGAACTTGAGTCCTACACGCGTACTCACAACAGAATTAAAAAGCTCCTAATCAATCACTCAATACTTATTCCGCGTATCTCCAAGTTGTCCAGAACCTTCGGCCTCTTATAATTCTTCAACAGCAGAGAGCAGCAAACAACGCTGACAGAAGAAGCAGCCATTGCAGCTCCAGCAATCCATGGTGGTAAACGAAATCCAGTAGATGGGAAAAGGGCTCCTGCAGCTATTGGAATGCCAAGAACGTTATATCCCAAAGCCCAAATGTAGTTCAAACGGATACGGGTGAAAGTTTTCCTAGAAAGGTGAATCGCAGTTATCACATCCTCCAAGTTGCTTTTCATTAGAACAATGTCAGCTGCCTCAATGGCAATGTCTGTTCCTGCACCAATTGCCATTCCTACATCCGCTGCCACAAGTGCTGGTGAGTCATTGATTCCATCTCCCACCATTGCCACAATGTAGCCGGAATTATCCTGTGAACATTGAAATTAAGTAACGTGCATGCAGTGCGCATGAGGTTAAGAACATACTCTTGTAGTTTGTAACAAATTAACAAAGTTTCATTATATGTACCTGCAAGTCCTTCACTTTCTCTGCTTTCTGATCGGGTTTGGCTTCTGCTATAACGGTCTCAATTCCAACTTCATTAGCGATAGAATTTGCAGTTCCCAAATTGTCTCCTGTCACCATTATGCTTCTAATTTTCATAGACTTCAGTATGGAAATTACTTCTTGAGCACCTGGTTTCAGTGGATCAGATATGGACAGAACTCCAGCTATTTTTCCATCTATAGCTATTAAAATCCCAGTTTGAGCGAGTCCTTCAGCTTCTGCAAGTATCTCTTCTGCATCTTTTGGAACCGCAATGTTACGCTCCACCATCAAGCTCTTGTTGCCAACAATTATTTCCTTGTTCCTAACAATGGCCTTCACCCCATGACCAGTAATGGATTCAAAGTCTTTTGCTTCTGGCCAGGCAGGATTCTCTTCGTCTTCTCTGAACTTTTTGGCGTTCTCAACAATGGCCTTAGCCAACGGGTGTTCACTGTTCACCTGATATATATATCATAAAAAATAGTGAAACTTCCAATCATTGTGGATAATAATGAACATATAAAAAAACTCTTCATGAATTTCTAAAAATACTACAGACGTGTTTTATATGTTAAAACCGACCTCAGCTGCAGCAATAAGTTCATAGAATTCTCGCAGCACCATATTTTTCAGGAGTCGTGTGTTAACAACCACTGGCTTTCCAATTGTGAGAGTCCCTGTCTTGTCGAACACAATGCAGTTCACCTAAAACATCATCAATCAAATCTATAGTTACACTTGATCATTAAATTGCATAATAATTTCTCTTATACTGCCCCAATGCAGAAAACTGCCAATATCGATATTATAGAAAGCATCAAACTGCTATAAGGATGCCGCTTCCTAACCTTATGTGCACTTTCTAATGCTTGGCCTCCTTTGATCAATACACCTTGAGATGCACCTACTCCGGTTCCAACCATGACAGCTGTGGGAGTTGCTAGGCCTAAAGCACAAGGGCATGCTATAACCATGACAGAGATTCCAAACTGGAGAGAAAGCTCAAAGCTATCCATGGAAGATGGTATCCAAGATTCAGGGTAGCCATGGTATCTTCCAGACAAAAACCAGGAAAGCCAGGTCAAGAATGAAAGTAGGATCACCTGCAACTTAAAACCACATTTTAAGAAAAAGCCTCCTGTATCCTTTCAGTTGAACCAAAACAAATCCTTAAAGAACTTGAGTAATTAATCATGTTATAATTCTTACCAGTGGCACAAAGTATTTGGAAATGCGGTCAGCAAATTTCTGTACAGGAGCTTTGGCCATCTGAGCTGACTCAACAAGCCGTACAATTTGAGAAAGGGAACTTTCTGCACCAACCCTAGTTGCCTTGATATGTAGGACACCGTTCTCATTCAAAGTACCTCCAATGACTGAATCACCCTTTCTTTTTGCGACTGGTCGTGCTTCGCCCGTTATCATACTCTCATTAACATGGCTTTGCCCCCATGTAACATAACCATCCGAAGCTACTTTCGCCCCAGGAATAATTTTAAGGATATCATTCTTTTGTATCAACCTACTATCAATTTCCTCTTCATTTATCACAATTCCTTCTTCGTCTAGTGTCAATAATGTTGCTGTTTCAGGTGCCAAGTCCATCAGTTTGGCAATGGCATCTGATGTCTTCCCTTTAGCTAATACCTCTAGGTACTTTCCAAGAAGAATGAATGAAATAAGCATGGCACTAGTCTCGAAGAAATCAGTACCCATAAAATCTGGAGAGGTAGCAGCTCTCAGTACCGAGTAGACTGAATAAAAATAGGCTGCATTTGTTCCTAATGCAATGAGCACGTCCATATTTGCAGAACCATGGAGTAGTGATTTGTACGCCCCAGTATAGAACCTCCGGCCTATAATGAATTGCACCGGAGTGGCCAGAATCCACCTCATGAGCTCCCCAATCATGAGATTATTCACTATTTTAGTTTCTAGGCCATGCTTAATTCCAGGAATATACATGAACACCATGGAGGTTAAAAACACCGGAATAGTGAAAACCAAACTCCACAGAAAGACTCCAAAATACTGCTTAATTTCCTCCTTTCTATGACTATCTCTTCCTGCTTCACCTCCTGGAAAAATCTTTGCCTTGAAACGCCTGGACCCGGTTGTTTCAATCACATTAATGAAATTTCTTGGCCCTGTCATATCTGATTTGTAAGAAACAGAGATTTTCTTGATTTCAGAATCAAAGTCTATAGTTTGCACACCAGGGAGTGCTTGAAGAGACTGTCCAAGTATTCTCATTGAGCGATCCGTCCTTACACCATCAACTTCAAGCTCTATCCGGCTCATGTCTTCCCCTGCAGTAATAAGTATGCCTTCGAATCCAGTGTCTTCAATGGTTTGTAACAGCTGGTTGTAGCTCACAACCTTTGGATCATAGTGAACATCTGCTTCTTCAGTTGCTAAGGCAACTTGGGCTTTTTGTACACCATGAACTGCCTGTAAAGCGGATTCAACAGTAGTAGAACAAGAAGTGCAAGTCATTCCCTTTATCCGAATTCTGCATATCAATATGGACTTCTCATTTCCCTCATCATTGATCAACGTGGCTTGGAATCCAACATCTTCAATCGTCTCACGAATATTCTCCGCCTACAAGATGTAAGACAACAGCTATAAAAAATTCCAACTACCAATAAATAAAGTAAAAAAATGATGGGAAATGATAAGCAAGAAACTAGTTATTACTATTAGACAGTAGAAAGGTGTATGCAATAGTGCCAAAAATTCAGTTTCTTTCAAGATATTAAATGTCAGGAATCAAACTTCCCTTGCGAAAATCTTTAAAAAATGATTCTACCCAAATTAAAGCTAGCTCAACTAGACTACTAGAGATGTCTCCTAGGGAATAGTCCTCTACGTACGTAAAACCTCGGTATTCTGTAGAATACAAATGATAGCAGATAAAATTATAGAAGCCACAACTCTATTAGTACTTTTTAGATATTAATAATCAAAGATCTTATAATTTGGTAATTTATTGATGGTGTTGGATGAATACACAGATCAAAATTGTTTTCACATAGTTGCAAATGTCATCTGTCTCAAGTGTTCATGCTAATTATTTCTTTCAAATGGTTAATGTTGTTGCTAATACACATAGCTTAGGCAAGCAACCAGATCAGTTTCCGACTCAAGGTGCAAATCTGCGTTACCTTAGCTTAAAATTAGGGACTTGATTTTCACACCCCATGTTCTCTCCTTGCACACTCTTTTCCATTTTCTTGCCATTGGATTAAAAGTAAAGAAGATCAAACGACCAAAATTAACAGTAGTGTGAAAATCATTTTCCTAAAGTTAATAATGGTCTATTCAGATAAATGTTCAGCACGTTGGTCAAACTGTTAGACGTCATGCAGAGTATTAATTTCGTTTTTATATACATATTAATTCTAGCAAGAGGCTAGAGTTTGCTTATATTTTAATAGACTGTAGTTTGGTTTGTACTTGGTGTGGAAGATAAGCCTTCTTTTTCTTAATTAATAAAGAAAAATTAGGTTTGTGAATCTCTACAAACTATGTAGCTAAGTCAAAGATTAGAACTATGATTAAGCGTCAGCTAAGGCTAAGGCCGTGAATTAAGAGGTTTAAAAGTAAAAGAAGATGTTCTACTTGTATGTTTTTTTGTCTGATACTTGACTTTTGACCAAATCTACAAAGAACCTGGCTTTATTATAAGCACAATACGTACCAACGCAGAAACAATATACAAACAGAATTTGAACTCTTTATAACATCTCCTTATTGTTTATATTCGATTAGATCTCCAAGTACACCTTTTTCATGGATAGAGAAAATTTTGTTAGGAAAATGATCTTCACACGTTCGTTTTTTCATTCAACACATTCTTGTTCATTTTTGTTTCTTGATTCTTTTTTAATTTACTCAATTCAAATGCCAAAAATAAATAAGAATTTACAGAAGGAGAAAACAAGTGTGCAAACTCTTTAAACAACGCTGTCTCAAACTTAGGGCTTTTAATTATTTTTCATTCAACACATTCCTGTTCATTATGGTTCCTTGATTTTTTTTTAATTTACTTATTCTAAATGCTAGAATAAGAGTTTACAGAAAAAGAAAAAAAGTGTGCAAACTCAATCCAAATGCCACAACTATGTTCTCTCTAGGGATAGAATAATTTAGCTCTGAATCGAAGCTTAGAAAATCCCAATTTTTAACCAGTTCTAAAATTAAGAGGACAATTTCTTTGTGTGCAAAAGTGCAGAAGCAATTCTGTACAATTGGGAAAGCAAAAAGGCAAGAGGCGCGTTTTTTTTTTTTTTTTCGATGAAAGGTAAACTTGCATTACCAACAACGTACGTACAAAACAAAGGCCCAAAAACACAAACAAAAGGTGGCCACCACAAGAACAACCCAACCCGAGAGTTGAGCCTGGTAAAAAACACAGAAAAAGAAAAAAACTAAAAACCCTAGCCGCAAGGTTCCCCAGCCACCGCCAAAGCATGCTCCGGCGACCACGAACCAGCAACCCATCATGCACCAGATGTGAAAACCAACCAAGCCCCAACAACAAAAAGAGAAGCAGACGTCGTCGTCCTCAGTCGAACTCCACACAAAACCAATCCGCCGCCACCAATGGTAGAAACCTAGGAAGGAAGCCAGTGGAACCACTGACAACAGTGCCGAGAACGACACGCAGGTGGAAGATGGTGGTGCGAACACCCGAGCCAAAGCTCTACGCACCTTCCGATAAAGCCGTAGAGTACGGCGGAACAAGGTCGGAGCAGATCGAGTCCAAGGTGAAGTCAAGAGAGAGCGAACCCAGATGGGAGAGAGAGAAGATGAAAAGAGTGGATGCATGGTAGGGGAAATACAGTGGGAAAATGGAGATCGGGAAACCAAGTTTTCCGATCGGGGCAAGAAGCAGACTAAATTGAGGCGCAAGGGCTGAGATATAAAGGGGAAAACACAGAAAAAGAAAACCAACGGGGACTGCCACCGGCCTTTGGCCAAAGCTAAGACCGGCGGCTGAACTGGAAACTGAGAATGGAAACATTCTCACGCAGATTTTCCTCAAATTTGAATTGTGTGAAATATCAGGTATTTGATGGTGGTGCGAACAACCAAGTTTTGCTCAAGAGGCGTGTGTTAGGTGACCTAAATCGCATGTTTGACAGGCCAAATCCAAGACATATCACATATAATGGATATAATTCGGGAATATTTTTTCTCATTACCCCAGGTAACGGTGATACTCACTAATTTATTTATCTACGTGCCATCATCAATGAAAAGCAAAAACAAAATGAAAGATTCACTTCACAGGTAAAGCGACTTACGCTAACAAAATTGGGAAAGAACATGACTTGCGCCCGGTTGTTCAAGACGTCGACAACGGCCTCGCGAATCCCCGGGAGCCTCTTGACCGCCTTCTCGACCGATCCGGCGCAGGCAGAGCACGTCATGCCCATGACAGAGAACAGGGCCTTAGCCTCGGCTGCGGCCGCCAGGCTGGTCTCCTCACCCACCACACCTTTGGGGTACTTTGGCATGGAGGGATAGTGGGGCCGGGGAGAGAGGTCGCCCCGGCTCTCGTTGCGATTGCAGAGAGCCAAGAACTTGGTTGCCATGGACGTGAGGTTTGTTGGTGGCTATGATCGGAGCCTTCTTTTTGTCTCTGAAGAAAAAAAAAAATGAGGAAAGTTTAAAAATTGGAGGGTAATGTGTCCACGAACTTCGCATTTAATTTTGAATGGAATGAGCATTCAACGGTGGGAGATTGTTTGTACAAAAAGAATAGCGGTGGAGGGTGGTGGGTCCCGACATAACCTAGGTCTGACGCTATGGGATAGACGATGAAGTTGTTCCCAATTATATACGAGTAATGTTATTCATACCATATTTTTGTATCATATTTTCATACCATCTTAGTTGACATTTGATGTGGACAACCATATAATTTGAATTATAAACTAATAATTAAGAAAAAATAGTTAATTAAATGATGATTGTGGTATAAGATGAGTCTTTCTCCTTCATTTCTTTGGGTTTTGCAAATTTTTCAAATGATATCGTTATACACATCAAATGCCACTTAAGATGGTAGAGAAATGATGTATAAAAACATATTATGAATAACATACATAAAAACCCTAAAAATCTTAAAAGGCAAGTAAAAGTCGGTTTTCGTTCCCCAAATTAATCTTTTATTTCTTCGGCTATATTTGGTGGAAAATATCCACAACAATACGCGGAGAGATCTTTCAGTGTGACTGTCACATGAAGTGGTACATCATGTGCCGTTATATAAATGGTGTGATATGTGTGTTAAAATGTTAATAACATAAAAAATAAAATTTCTCACCACTTACATAGAAACACGTGATGTACCACCTGTGTTCCTGTTACAACTAAAAATTTCTCCAGTACGAGAGCTTATCATGAAATAAATGTTTTTTTACACATTTTTTAAGGATATTTTTTTTGGTATACACATCATATCATAAAAAATAAAAAATAAAATTCTTATTCACTTCTCACATATTGGTAAATATACTCCACAAATAAATTTGTGGTAAATGTTTCACTTTCAAAACCACTATCACTCTCTTGTAGGCAATTAGGTTGAGTCTCATTGCAATGATCTTTCCTTTTATTTTGCAAAGTTTATATATCTTTAGATGCAGATAACAACTTCATTTTACTTCAACTCGATTTCTGTGTTTTCACAGAGAAGCAAAAATAAATAAAATAAAATATGTATTTATACCTAGGATGTTTATTGTGGAGTGTATGTTGAAAATGTTAGGTATATATTAAGAGTGTTGTGTGAATTTAAAATACATGGGTGTATTAAGACAAACTTTGACAAAAAGGAAATGTTGCAGAGTAATTAACAATATGTAAGGTATTAATAAAAAAAACCCAAAAAATACTAACAAGTTCATTCCCTTTATTAAACCCTTCTTGTTGACTAAAAGGCGAAGATTTTTTTTTTTTTTTTTTAAGTATGTATATATTTACAGTAAAGGGTGAGAGAATGAATTTGTATAGAATTCGCAATTCATGATATTCAAATCTAAACCTTTTATGAAAAGAAATATCACTAAATCGTGGTATAAGTGGCAAAAAAAGAGTGGGCATGGGATGAAGTACGATGTGTAGAATTTGGATCCCAAGTATAATACACGGTGAGTTTCAGGTCGTCATCTATATTAATTTAGTTTAGAAACAAAATGAAATATCAGACCAAAAAAAATGAAAATGAAAAAAATTAACATCCTCATGCTATGATGCTAGGCAGGTAAATGAATATAATTCCACGTATTAGCTAGGTAAATGATTAGGAAATCCACATGTTATAAATGACAATGAAAAAAAAAATCCAGAAATCAAATGGTTATTTCTAGCATAAGTGAAACAAGAGTATAAGCTATTAGATTAAATGGAGCGCATGTAGGAAAACAGTAATAATTAAAATACTTTAAAGAAAATAGCATTAGAAGAGGATCTGGCTTTTGAATATATGAAGTAAGAACGATTATTTGGGGAGAAATATATAATAAACCCATAAATAGGAAATGAATTGGAGGTCGACGCTAGAAGCCTAGAAACTGCATATGCATGGAGAGAAAGAGGAGGGGGGGGGGGAAGTGAGGAGGGAGGGAGGGAGGGAGAGAGAGCCTTTACTTGAAAGGTATGGTCACAGAAGCAAGCCTGCAAGCCTCTGCAATTGTGTCCAAAGTAATCAAGTATTCTTCCATATATATATGCGCTTAGAACCGCCGAACGTACTCCAAAAAAGTGGTAGACAGATGCAACAAAAGCTGCAGTGAATCTTGATATACTAATTAATGGACTTTTAAAACTTCAGGATACGACTTAGACCAAAAGAAAAAAAAGAAAAAAAGAAAAAGGATTTTCAACACAAAACTATTCATCTAAGACTATATAACAGAAATGACGCGATACAACCAACCACGGATGTTGGAAAAAATGTTCCATCTAATTTGTTGATAATTTTTCATTGATGTAATATATTAATATTATATTGTATGAATCATGAGGGTATTTTTATTTGTTTTACTAGTACACATACGAATCTAGGGAATTATATTCTATGGAGTGTGGTGCTGAGTTCAAATGGTTTAGGAAAGGGGTTCTAAGCTAATTGTTTGGTTGTATAGTACAAACAAATGTGTCGACCACGGTTGGCCATTGTCATTTTAAGATGAACACCTTACAATTGAGTGGGTTGTAAGCGTTTAACTTGATTTCTATATATAGCACTAATTTTATATCCAAAGGCTTCCCTAATTTATTCTTTATTGGCCAAACCATTTTATATCAAAAGGTTTCCCTAATTTATTCGTTATTGGCCTAACCATTTGAAAAAAAAAAAAAAAAAAGTACAAATAAAAACGAAAAAGAATGTTAGTACAAATTAATAAAAAAAAAAAAAAATTGGGTACAAATGAAAAATACTAAAAGGATGTGACAACCTGTTCCTAATTTTATGATTTTATAAATTCTAAAAGAGTGATTTGACGAAAATGCCCTTAGAGGCAAGGATTTTGACTTCCGTTGACCATCGTTTAGAGTGACATGTGACACATTCTTTTAGCGTAATTGCGTAGTACGCGACGATACGAACACATGGGCACAAGTGAAATCGAATTTGGAGTTACAATGGAGATTTTACGGATTTACAACGTGAAGGGTGATTTGGTAAATTCATGTTTAGAGATCTTTTGTGGCTTGTTTTGTGAGCCACATGGGGCCCACACCCCACTCCTGCCTATCCCGTGTCCCTTCTCTCTTCCTAACTCTCTCTTTTTATTTTTCAAACTTTTGGACCACTCTCTTGCTGCCATGTGTCCCTTTCCTCCACACATATGCCTCCTTGGAATATTCCGTTAACTGTTGACAATTAGTTGACTTTTTTCGAAATTTTCTCGAAAACCCTCCTAGGCTAATTTCGATGCCCCGAGTCCATTTTTGACATCCATTTAGTGAAATTCCAAAGTTTCAACATAATTGACCACCTCAGCGGCTCGGTTGACTTTTAGGGTTTAGGGTTGACCGTTGACTTATCTATTGACTTTTTGTAAAAAATTTCGGGAACCCTCCTTAGCGTATTTCAACGTCCTGATTCCAAATCCACACTATGTTTTCCCAAATTTAATTGTCTTAGTGGAGTTTTACTAATGGGTCCCAATATTATGCTTAGGTGCGATTACTATCGAAGACTCCAGCTATCCTAAATCGAACGGCTACGGCCTTGCAAGTATTTGTGAGTGGGTCTTTGCTTTTAAATACTATATACTTATTTAGTTTCCATTTATGCATTTGAAAAAGAACTTCCTACGTATGCTTAGATTAGACTAATATTTATAAAAATTAGCGAAATAATGGAATTTACGAAATTATCCTAAATCCTACGGGATGCACATGTATGCATATTATTAAGGGATGCCTTATTTATATTTATGGCATTGAATAGTATTATGTCGACGTAAGTTATTGATTTACCGTTGTATGACTTTGGTTACATCTGCTTATTATTGCTCCACCGATGTTAGTACTTGCCCCATCCAGGGCTAGGCTTTCACGTGTATGTGCACATTGCATCGTACGCTCACTTTGGATCCATTGTAGGTGTCAGTCATGTCCTAGATTGCTATAGGCAATTAGGACTCGTATGTGTCGCGCATAACGTCAGTCTTCACGTGATTGTAGTACTAGAGCGTATATCATTGTTACACCCAGTCCTGTTCATGCCAGAATATCTCTGCATGAACTCGTGTATCAGCATGTGTCGATGAGCACTCGATATGATATGTTTGCTTATGCGAGATTATGTGATTACAGATGTCATGTGCTTATTTACGAAATATTGTGCCGTATTGAATTCTTGAGATTTTGTAGGCTACGGTAAGTATTTTCTTACTATACGTAGTATGTATATTTTGGAAACTATACTTGTTTTACGGCAAGGGGTATTATGTTTTTGAAAAGGTTTTTACAAAGCTTTGTTTTTAGGCCCACCCGCCCTTGTTTTTTGCCCCTCCAGGTTTTAGTGCTGAGCTTTTGTGTCAACGAGGATTCTTGACAAACCTCAGTATAGGTGGCTACCTTTGATGATATAATTCTTAACCAACCTTACTGTACTTTACTTATGCTCTGACATCACGTGTGAAATGGGTTCATTCCCGCTTACATGCGCACTCTTGTATTTAGGCACTTTAAGGTTTAAATTTATTCACATTTTCCACTTCACTACACTTTATGGCTTCGTACCCTCCTGGTGTCGGCAATCACAACTCGATTTGGAGTCTAGGTGGACATTTCGGGTCGGGATGTGTCAAAGAATATATTTGAAAATGATTAATAAGTTTTCGAACTTTAAACTCCTCCGCTCACTCCCCCACCCTTTAGCGTATATATTAATGTTTGTTCAAAAGAAAAAAAATTAACATATGTTGACATGCGCCACTACGGTCTAGTGGTAAGTGAGAGATTTAAGGTTCGATTCTCAATAAAGGTGAATTTGAACCAAATATTGTTAACCCATTGTGAGGCTAAACTCATCCTTTCCTCTTTATTTAATATCATTTGTTAAAAAAACATATGTAGACATGCAAATAATTTAATATTCAATTAGTGATGTGGACAAAAGTCAAAAGACCTTAATCACAAACGAAAAGAAATGAAGTTTCAATTAATGAGAAATGAATTAGGGATGAGAACCTAATG